TCTTGAATCAATCTTGCCAACTCTTCTTTGTCTCCCAGTGTGACCATCAGGGTCTTCAGAGGCAAATGCAGTCCTGCGTCCTTTGAAACCTCCTTGACTAACGTCTCCGAGATGAGAACCTTCCACAAATGCCAAGAGAAATCTGGCTGTGGCCTCCCCGAGGAGTACGCTATTGCTGATTCCATGGCACAGCCCAGCAACTTCGTCAAGAGATCCCTGTCTTTGTACGCTGGGTACATTATCACGCGGGTTGCACCGGACTGCCTCAACCGTTCTTCTCCTCCCCTCCCGCAGATAACCAATGACCCCCCGCTCATTCGGAGGGCCTCTTGCTCCTTCAGAGCGATGTCCCGCTCCACACTCTTGGGGTGTTTGCTCCAATCGATGCTGTAGGCATCCCCTTTATTTCCTCAAGATCCCTGTCTTCAACGCCGCTTCCAGATCTTTTTTCTGGAGGCTCCGAATTGTCCACTTTTCCACCTCTTCGTCTGCCTGCTGGATGAGGTCGTCTCTGCTGGAAACATACCGAGCCGCTCTGCAACTTCCAGTCAAGTTGTTGAAGAGTCCAGACTCCACGAGCCTCATCAGAACTCCAGACAATGCCCCCACCGTGGTGTTCACGCTTACAGACTTTGAGTCCAGCCGTGTAGTCTCTGTTAGGGCTTTAGGGTTTAGGGTTTAGGGCTTAGCGCTTAGGGTTTAGGGTCTAGGGCTTAGGGTTTAGGGCTTAGGGGCTTGGGGTTTATAGAGTTTAGGGCTTAGGGCTTTAGGGCTTTAGCTTTAGGGCTTAGGGCATTTAGGATTTAGGGTTTAGGCTTTAGGGTTTAGGGTTTTAGGACTGAGGCATGTACCGCGGTTCTAGGAATAGTGCATGCCCCGTAGTCAGAGAACCGCAATACCCCTTAATTAAGGTAGGGGCCTTAATATTATGATTTCAGGTGTATTCCTTAATTAAGGGGTATTGATTGGGTTCTCTGGGTAGTCTTCTAGTGATTCGTTCTGTCTTCCGGGGAGCCTCCACGTCGCACATGGCTGGATGTACGCGGAGAAGTCTGAAGGTCCACTATCCAAGCTGTACAAGATGCTTCGGCAAGATGCTATATAGGGTTTAGGGTTTAGGGTTTAGAGTTTAGGCTTTAGGGTTTAGGGTTTGGGGTTTAGGGTTTAGGGTATATACTGGCCTTAATAATTGGACTAGGGTTTTGCTGTATGTTATACTACTATTATGCTATGATTCTAAAGGAGCCGCAAAAATGATACAGGTAATCATAGAGGCCCCTATATTACGGGCTTGCGTTAGGGTTCAGGGTTTAGGGTTTGGGGTACGCAAAGAGACTATGAAGCTTCTCCAAAACACTCCAAAGCTTGGGGTTTAGGGTCCAGGTTCAAGGCTTAGGGCAGGGCGTAAAGCTGTTTTTGTTTGGGGTTGTAGGGTGCAGGTGTAAGGTGTTGGATTTGGAATTGAAGTGGCCTTATCAGGGCTTTTCGGATATGCGAATCTCCGGATTGACACCGTTCGGCCTACAGTGCCGAATTTCAGGCGTAGGGTTTAGAACTTGGAATGAGGCTATTTGGGTGTAGGTTTGGGGAGTGCCAATCCTAGATCCTAATCCCTAAACTTACTTCCCCAATAAGCCAGGGAAATAAAGGGTTAAACTTTTCAACTTTCAGATTACTACTATAAATTATAAACTTTCAGATTACTACTATAAATTATAAGAACCTGCGTATTGGGGAACTAGGTAAACCGGCAAGGTTTACAGTTTACTCCTTGCGGGCGAGCGCTGGAGACCCACGGTTCAAGCTTCGTGGTCTCGGCCTGGTGTTTGGGCCCAAGGGCTGAACAATATATTATTTAAAAGTTAGGGTTTAGGGTTTAGGGTTTAGGGTTTAGGGTTTAGGATTTAGGGTTTAGGGTTTAGGGTTTAGGTTTAGGGCCTATAGTCTAAAGTTTTAACAACTGGGTTTTCTTAAGGGATGCAGTTTAAGTTACCATCATAGGGATCTACAGTAATTTATATTGACATGGTTTCCTTATTACAGTAGCTTAAAATTCAATCCCTGCACAAGAGCCGAGATAATCTAAAGCTAGGTTTCCCAGTAGCCCCTTAGAAATAAGGGTGCCTTTTTCCTACTATTTGGTTTTAATAAGGGAGCCCAAAAAGAAAAAGATGTCAAGGCCTAAACCGGTTGAAGGTTCATGGGTCTGGGGCTCAACCGTTTTTGGATGTGGGGAACCTCGCCCGGAAGCAGCATGGTGTGGCATTTTGGGCTGTTGCACACCTAAGACGGGGATCAATCGAAGAAATCAGAGACCGTGGCTGGGGGGGATATCATAGGTTGAGGGTTTAGGGTAGTTTAGGGCTGAGAGTTTCGATGGGTTTCGGGTGTAGTGATGCTCAGGGCCCTAAACTCTATAAACCCTAAACCCTAAACCAAACCCCGCGTTACGAGCTTTCTCCAATAGCTGGAGTCTCCCGAATCTCCTTCAAGCGAAGGCGGGACAGGCCGGGTACACTCCCAGAGAGCCCAATACCCCTTAATTAACTTTAGGGTTTAGGGTTAATCGAAGGTACATTCCTGAATTAAGGGGTGTTGGGCTGTCTGGGCTGTTGCGGGGCACTTGCTTTGATCGCCACCTCTTGGAAGCTATGGAGTTGCTCTCAAGGGCCACTGCAATGCAGGACCCTCACTCATTGCAACAAGGTGTTGTGGGTATACTGGTACGGTTGATGATATAAATCCTGCATTACCCATACTAAGGAATTTGCCATCATTCCCATAGTTTAGGGTCCTTAAGGTTATTGCAGGATTTATGTCATCAACCCTGGTATATCTATTTTTTCCACTAAGTAGCAACTATTCATAAAATCTCCAAATCACCGAAACCAGGATTTTTTTGGAGGGGTTTCGGAGCTGGCTTTCCGGATCTCAGGGATGGGGTTGATGTCGTAGGGTCGCTACCTTACGTGCGGTTTAGGGTTTAGGGTTTAAGGTTTAGGGTTAAGGTTTAAGGGTCGGTACCTTGCATGCGGTTTAGGGTTTAGGGTTTACGGGTCGGTACGTTGCGTGCACAAATGTCTAGGACATTTTCAGGTGGGTAGTTACCGTTGAAAGGAGCCTTGTAGAAGCTCTATATACCTTTATAGAAGCCTTATAGGAGCTCTATAAATACCCTAAACTCCCCACCTGTAGCTTCCTTTAAAAAGGCGTAGCCACGCAAGACTCAACCGAAGCATTGCCGTTGATGTGGGAGACGGAAACCCGCAGCACCGGGCAAAAAACACACCTCCGACACAAATTTTGATCCAGCCCGAAACTACACGCTATAGCTGATATTATCCTCTGCATGCTACCGATTTGCCCACGAAGCGCCGTCTGGCTTCCATGCACAAAGGGGTTGGAAAAAGGCCAGAGAGCTCCGAGCTCCCCAGGTCTGAAATCCGCGCGCCGTCGCGTCCGGCGACATTTGAGAAAGCTCAACATGACGTGCCCCTTTCTTGCACAGCTGGCCGCATTTCCCCAAACTTTAAAGCTCTAAACCCGAAGCCCTAAAACCGAATGCCCTAGTATGTTCTTTTTCAGCCTGTGCTCGATGGCAGCATGGGCCGAATCTCCTCATACTGCACCATAATTTGGCGACCCGCGCAGCTACACTTGCCTTGGTTGGATTTACTGGCTTACGGTTCGGGGTTTAGGGTGGCCAGACAAAGGAACGAGGCTACGATTGTCCCCGGAAACTTAACGTAAATTACTGTATATTACATCTATGGGTATGGGTTTAGGGTTTAGGGTTATACACACACACACACATCCCTATAAACCCAATCCGCTAAACCCTAAACCCTAAACCCTAAACCCTATCCGCTAAACCCTAAACAAACATACGTTTCGGCTACAAGTTGCAGCTGGCGATGTCCATGGGAGGCGTGGGGCCGGTGGGGGGACGTCGGAAGAGCAGGATGGCCTGGGAAGGACGCAACTTCTAGCGATTCGGGTTTAGGGTTTGGGGTTTAGGGTTTAGGAAGTTTAGGGTTTAGGGATCTTTTTCGGGGGAAGCACCACTATAGACCCCAAAAGCCCTAAACTCTAAATCCTAGAAGCCCTACACCCCACAGAAAGCTGCCCCTCTTGAACTAATCTGCTCCCTGCAGAGAAGCTCTATCGTCTACCCATAAAGCCCCTAAGTAGTTCCTTTTTGTGGTTCATATTTAAAATCCAAGAAGGCAATCCCAAAAAGGAACTACTTAGGGGCTTATGGGTGGGGCCTTAGAGTAACGCCCTAGCCCATACACCCCTCTCTGCAGATAGTAAGCGCTGAACCCACGGTTCAGGGTTTAAGGTTTGGGGCTTGAACTTAACCCGAAAGATTGAACCCTAAACCCTAAACCGTAAAATTAGCCCGCTAACAAGGGATGACTACTTCGAGGACTCGGCTATTTCGTCACCTAGGAAGAACCTGGTGCTACACGCATGCTACTTTAGGGTTGAGGGTTTAGGGGTCGAGTCATCCTACCTCTATGCCAACATACCCGCTACTTTCCAAGTCCCCCTGCGCCTCCGAGTAGATCCAAGTCGGGGTTACTGTTGATAATATAAATCCTGCATAACCTTAAGGACCCCAAACTATGGGAGTTATGGTCTACTCTATATTATGGGGAATGCAGGATTCATATCATCAACCGTAGGGGTTAAGGGTTCGGGTCGTTGATGCCCACCGGCCTGCGCCACAAGAAGCGACACATAGATCATCAGCGCAGCAAGCCATTCAGGGGAGCAGTCTTGAACGGTCACGAACATCAAGCCCCAGATGATGCCCCCGCACACATAGGAGTATGCGTAGGCTAGGGGACAGCAAAGCACGGCCAGTATGGTCTGGAGATAGCCCTCACCTCTCTTCTTCAACAACCAGGCCCCAAAAAAGGTTCAAACATTTTCGGATAGACCCTAAAATACAAGGCCAAAAAGTTTAAAGTTCTTCAAACGGCTATCTAAGTCACTGTAGGACATTGCCAGGCGGATCAGCCTTAAAAGAACCGGGTGGGTCAGCGGGAAGGTGAGCAAAAGGCATAGAAGCCAGGCCATCGCTTGCGCTCCTCGGTGTCGACTTCAAGAGCCCCCCCCCCAAAAAAATAATTCATAATAGGGTTTAGGGTTTAGGGTTTAGGGTTTAGGGTTTAGGGTTTAGGGTTTAGTGTTTAGAATTACCGGGCTCAATAGTACATACCAGGACCCTCCAAGTATCCTCAAATAGGGGCATATGGTCCCAAATTACGGGTATTTAGGGTCTTTAAAGGGTAGATGGAGGGTCTAGGGAAACACTAAACAAAATTACTTTTGTTGCCCAAATCGATACCCGGGCTCCCAAGTACCATCCCACTGATTGGAAACCCGCACTGGAAGCTGAGCTTTCGCAAGGACCACCATCGCAGCCGAGGGTGTTCACCAAGGAGTAGAGGTTCATGGGCAGGAAGGCAACCACACAAAGGTGGTAGGGCACGTGAGCTTCATGCCCTATAGCGTCTACCACAGCACCTTCAGGCACAATATCATGGGGTTTGTAGGGATTTAGGGGCAAGTTTTAACTTACTCGTATTGCTCAGGCGAGCCTGAATCATTACAACATACTAGAACTCTTGTACCCCCAGAAGCCTTGCGACAGGGTATCCTAAACTACGAGAACACTTGAATCAAAACAAGGATCCTGAATGAAGGAATTGAAGGTAATATCAGTTTACCGTGTCCTTTGTTCAGGAAGTCAAGTTAGATTACCATGATAAGTACCGAGATTACACAGCAAGCTGTCAACCTGTTCTGGTGACTGTAGCCTAAAGATGTGTGCCTTGACATGAACCCAAGTTCGCGGATGGTTGAAAAGGCACTCACCCCCCAAACCGAACCCTAAACCCTGAACCCTAAACCCACAACCCTAAACCCTAAACCCTGCAACCCGCCCACCTAGTAGAGGTCCCTGAACGAAAGCATTGAACCGCTGGAGGGCTTCCTCCCTGTTCATCGGCGGTTCGACTTCCTGGGCTGGGGCTTGGTCTTTCCCAGAGAACCCAATACCCCTCAATTAAGGAATATACCTTAAATTATAGGGGCCTTAATATTATGATTTAAGGTATATTCCTTAATTAAGGGGTATTGGGTCATTAAGGCGTTGGGGCCTCGGAGTTAGGGTATCGGCTTTAGGGACGGGCCTTAATGTTATGATTTAAAGTATATTCCTGAATTAACGGGTATCGGGCCCTCTGGGCCTTCAAAAGAGAGCATCAGATCTGTCGGAGTTGAATCCTGCTCCTGATTGGCTGATGGGCAATTCTCTAAATTAGGGTCCCTTTTAGGCTCCTTTTAATAAGGCTGCCGTACTATGCTTGGTATCTAAAGGCTCCTTTAAATAAGGCTGCCGTACTACTTTTGGTATCTGAAAACAAAAGGACCCTTTTAGAAGTCTACGTGGCCTGACAGCAAGATGCAAGATGTGCCCCTCATGCGCAGGTTGCCAGGCTTAGGAGTGGTGCCCTCGACTAATGATTCGGGTTTGGGCACTTGTAGCGGTTGCGCTTTCGTGAGTCTTTATCGCTAGGTGCCAAACGGATCGGACTCCCAAACCCCTGACGCAGTTCTCGGCTGTCGGGATTGACGATTTTGGTGCCGGGGGTGGTTTTGGCTCAGGTTTCACGGAAGCTGAAGAACAGTGGAGGCCAAACGGGCCGAACACAAAAACATTTGTGGAAAGGGTATTCCCCCAGAGCGCATGTGCGTCCAAAGGTCGCGATGTATAAACGGCTTTGTCGAAACGTCTAGGTGCTGGCGGGTTAATGTAGGGGCCTTAATAAGTAGAATAAGGTTTTTGGGGTATATTCGCCTCGGCCCCGGCCGAAGCGGTCAGAGGTTCCTATTCGGATTCCCTCTATTCCCCACCTCTTAATCCCCTCCCCACTGACCCCCACCCCGCACAAGGGCCATCGTGGGGGGGGGGGGCCCCCTCCCCCCCTCCTTCCCCCCGTTGCGGGTGCTGTCACACTATATCTATCTATATATATATATATCTCTATCTATCTATCTATCTATCTATCTATCTATATATAGTTACAAAAAAAAGTTTGTCTAT